ATTTTTTGCTAATTTTTTTCGGTTTTTCGCTGATTTTTCAAATTTTGATGGCTCAACGGGCTAATTTAACCTTCAGATTCAAATTCAGCGGATCGAAATACATAAAAATCATACTTGATCCGGGTCAACAAAAATTTTTTCATCGCTGTAATTGCAGTTTTTCATATTTTTGGGGGGTTTTTTGCATTTTACTAAAATCTGGGACCTGACCGAGCCCAACGGACCTCAAATTCGGATTCAGCGGGTCGAAAAACATGTCCATAGATGGGTCCGGTCAAATGCACAAACCACTTTTTTTTTGTGTGTCGGTGTAATTTTTGTATATTTATAAATGATAAAAATTAACCCGATGAACAGCCCATTGAATACAGTAAAAGATAAAAAAAATCATCGTGTAAGAATTAATACATAGATATTGTATGTAATGACGCACGTATGAATAAAAATTGTATGATTATGATTATTATAGTTGTATTAATTTTATAATAAATAAAATACGATTGAAACATTACTTAGTTTAAACTCAATTCAATAACATAATGATTAACTTGAACAAGAAATATTAAACGAAAATTTTATTTACAGACAAAAAATTATATATAAGTCACATGCATTACATCATTAATTCTTTCGTTGTGCATGCATAAAGCAATTGTACACAGTGAGAGGCAAAAGTTCCGGAACGACCAAATATTTCAGAAAGTATTAGTTTCATGAAAAAATGTTTCGAACAAAAATTGTAGGGTTTAAGAAAATCTATTAGCTGGTGATTTTTATTTCAACTTTGGATGATCTTCAAAAGTGCGATTAAGATCAATATATAAATCTGAAAACTCCTATTTTTCATTGCATATTTTTGTAGCTAACATCAAGAGCTTTTCAAAGCACTATGATAAAATTATTTTTCATTAAATATTTTTCAAGTTATAAGACTTGAAAATTATAATACCACTAACATTAGGAGTAAAAAGATGCTATGGGAGTAACAAACTATGGGTTCCTTATCTTTGCTGTAACATATCCACACATATACACACACATATAAGTTATAAATTCGACTGAATAACCATGTTGCACACTTTGCATAATGCTAATGCCAGTGATATTGTGACTGCGTTCTGTTTTAACGCTTAAACACTGTATGATTTATCTTTGTTTAACATTTAATAAACAACAAGCATAAAATGATTCTGTGAACGCTGTAAGCGCCTAAACCGTGATTACGGAAAACAGCCTGTAACTTTCAAGTTTTATAACACAAAAAGTACTTAATGAAAAATAACTTCATCGTAACATTTTTAAAAGCTCTCGACGTCAGCTACAAGAATATGCAATGAAAAATAGAGATTTCCATTTAAGGGGATATACCTAGTTAGGAGGCTGAAAAAAAGAATTTTCGTGAATTTTTTTCAAAAAAATATATGTATATTTTTGTTGTATCAAAGTTTTTATATTTGAAAAAGTTACTACTTTTGACAAAGTTTTCATATTTTTTTACGCAAAAATATTAATAAATAAATAAGTTGTAGTTAATGTCCGGGAAACCGTTTTCGAAAACACGTTTTATGGTGACCACTACTGTTCGGAATCAGGTAATGGGAAATGAAAAAATTTTAAAAATTTAGTTAATATACGAATCTAGTTATCTAGTTTTTAATCGATCGATATTCCGAAAAATTGACTTACGACAAAATGACGGCTGTTCAAAGTTTAAGTTCGATTTTCATTTTTTAAAACCGGATCATCGCGCGCTTGGTGGCGATATTCCCATTGCCGCCAGTGAGAAAAAATATTTGGTTGTGCCTATCCATAGACCGCACGCACACGCAGAAAAAATTAATTCAGACAGACGCAGACTAACGCAGCTCGACTGGCCGCCTCCTTCACTCGCCTCCATAT